CGACGTGTTTTGATTTTGAAACGTGCAGTGCTCATGTTTATTCAACGAAGTCAAACGGCACAAATAAATCAATGTATGGGAAACTGGTAATGTATATCGAAATATCGGAAATGCGTTTAAAAATCATATCACCGTTATTGAAAAAAATTATATCGCGATACATATTGATATTGAATTATTGTCCAGCCCTAATTATAATATTCATATTAGTAATGTCATTTGAACATTTTAATTGAATCAGATGGTATGCCAGTGAATTGATCAAATTAAATTGAAATGAATTGCATTGAATGAATATATATGAATAGTTGCTTATAAAAGCCTCCAAATGTCCAAGAGTTACATGTGAATGTTGTTTCCTCACAGAGCTCGCATTGAAGAGATGCAACAGAGACATTTGGAGGACTACAGGCCTCGTCCGCACCCACCTCCTCCAGCCGGTAAAACACCTCATTCAGAGTCTGCATCAACTACAACATGCACTTTCTTTCCTTCGTTTTTAATATAATTGTTGTTAGTTTCATTGACTACATGGCAAATGCAACAGTTATGTCTTATAGCATATTATATGAATCTTTACCGAAATTTCTGCTTTTGAAGCACCTTTCGCAGGAGCAGCCATGTTTAACCCCGCCCAACCTCCATCTGCACGCAGAAGAGATGAAGATCAAGACGGGCTGCCTGATTACTGCTGTCCCAAATGTATGTACAAGGCTCCAGACATGGACACCCTGCAGATTCACGTCATGGACTGTATCCAGTGAGAGGAAGAGATGTTCAGGTGATCTCTTGACACCTGAGTGAACTGTAACAACAACAACAAAAAAATAAAAAATATTCAAGAAGTGAAAATCAAAAACATGCTAGAAACAAGTACACAAGACCCATCTAAGGATTTTGAACATTTAATCCTGCTGCAAATTGACTTGAAGTAGACAGGTAGCCGATGTTTAGCAGATGTTTTTATCATGTGGCTATAGAGCAGCCACCATGTTTCTGTACACTTAGTGTGTGTATCTCTTTACAAAAAAAGCTTGTCTGTACTGCCTTTCTGTGACAGCGTAGTGTAATGTGCTGCACGTATGTTTGCGTCTGCTTTACGTCTGCACACATCTGACAGTGACAATGTTTCCTGTATACCTGTGGTATTTGTTTCTCTGGATGTACGCACTCTTGAGGATTCATGCCCGCCTGTGTTAATATTGTGTATTATCAGCCAAAGTGAATATGAAAAAAACACAAGAACTTTGTACAGACTATTGTTACGGAGAGATTTAAAGAAATAAAAGTATGAATATATAAACTTTTTCTTTTGTCAAGCACATACTGTGTGTGCAGCAGAATACTTTGTGTACTTACAAATCACTTACATTTATGAAAAACTTCAAAAGAGTTGCTGAATAAGGCATTAGTCAAGATTTTACAAAAATAATAATTTTATTATAACCAATAGATTAGAGTTTTTTATTTTATTTTTATTTTTATTGGTTTTGGTTCATTTTGGATATTTAACTGTCCACAAGATAATCTTTAAAAATTACTTAAAAACTATGAACTGTAATCTTTTGCAAATCTCAAAATAGTAATTTTATCCTTCATTTCTTATTTTGACCAAAGATTTTTATATTATAATATTAATATTAGCACTGTCAATTAAAAATTTCAGTTGAATTATGATATGCTGATTAACTAATGAAATTAAATCCTATTTAATCGCATATATACTAATGTTTGCAAATAAAATTCTATCGTTGCAATAGTTAAAAATAGCAAACCAAGTGAAATTTATTGTTTTTATGTTAATTTGCACAAGCAAACATTTCACAAGTTTTAATTAAAATTGAGTTTTATATATATATATATATATAGAGAGGTGTTGTAATAATGTAAAATATGTGAAAAATAATCAGTTTTTCGAACAATCTAGTATGAGAGCCTGTTCTAGTACGCCCCCAAAACAAAATCAAGACTTTGTAAAAGAGCATAATAGGACCCTTTTAACTTAAAAAGCACCAATACACTTTGGTTACCAGTATTCTTAAAAATATATTTTTTTGGGTTCTGCATAAGAAAGAAATGAGTACATGTCTGGGTGAGTAAATAATGACAGTTTTTATTTTTGGGTGCAATATCCATTTAACATAATTGATGGGACTGTATATTCAACGGTGCTGATAAAAATGTTAATGCTTTCAGGCTCAGAGAAACAATGAAGATGTTGATGCCATCAAGCCTTTGTTCTCTGTCAATGTGGATCACAGGGTAAATATGCATATTAATCTTCATTGTCAACAATCGCCTTATCTGTGTAATGATTAGGGCTAAGAAAAACCTGTAAACCTATATTAACAGAAATATACCTCCACATTGGAATGTGTTGCTACTACTTGTTTACTTTTTATGCTTTTGTATGATTTGTCTCTGTATGATTATTAATCAGTGTATTTATGAATTGCAGGGTGCATGGAATGGTCCCTGGGTGTCCACGGAGGTCTTGGCTGCTCTGATTGGCATTATGGTCTACTACCTGGCCTACAGCACCAAAAGTGCAATCCAGGCTTGAGATGAGAAGAAAAGTCAATTTTCCACCACACTGTTCAAACTGGTCTTGAGGCATTCCCTATTCTGACATTTAATATGCAGATTTTAGTGCCATGGACACCTTGGCTAAAACACGAGACTGGTTTGTTGTAGAGCTTGGGCAAAAATATCAATATGGACATTAATTATAATAGCCAAAGTTGGTGTTATGTAAATTTTTTTTTAAACAAACTCAAATTAAAGAAATAACATTTTTCATTTGTGCTATTAATATTAAACCTCAGAAAGACAAAGACTGAGGTGATTTATCTGTGACTTATCATCATAGTCCAGTTCTCTATTGTGAAGTGTCCCAAATATCGATGAAATTCATTGACTATGGGAATAAACCATTTTCTCGAAGTTTTCCTGAGTCATTTTTTTTTATAAAGAGGTTGTATAATTAACCACCCTACCCCATTAACATTGTGACATCACATATTTACACACACACATATATGTATATATATATTAGTGAATTCTCTAACTATTGACATCCCGTGGTAGCTAGGATTTACACAAGCTTCAGTCTGGATCCAGAACACCTGAGAAGAATATACACAGTACACAAACATGTAAACAAAAACTTATTTTGGATGCTAATCGTTTGACAGCATCTATATGTATGTGTGTGTGTGTGTATATACACATACATTTTATATTATGTATAATGTTCGTAAAAACATTCATCATTAAAATCATTATTTGCAGTAATTTATATATATATATACAGTGCCGCTTGAAAGTTTGTGAACCCTTTAGAATTTTCTATATTTCTGCATAAATATGACTCAAAACATAATCAGATTTTCACACGTCCTGAAAATAGACAAAGATAACCCAATCAAACAAATGAGACAAAAAAAATTTCTTTTTCATTTATTTGAGAAAATGTATCCAGTGTTACATATCTGTGCGGTGCAAAAGTATGTGAATCTCTAGGATCAGCAGTTAATTTGAAGGTGAAATTAAGAGTCCATCTGTTCAGAGGTGTTTTCATTCAGTGAAATGACTATCAGGTGTCATTGCCTGCCATGTTTTATTTAAAGAACAGGGATCTATCAATGTTTGGTCATGTTTGTGGAAGTGAATCATGGCACGAACAAAAGAGAGCTCTGAGGACCTCAGAAAAAGGGTTGATGTTGCTCATCAGGTTGGAAAAGGTTTCAAAGCCATCTCTAAAACGTTTGGACTCCACAAATCCATATTCAGACAGCTGTACAAATGGAGGAAATTCAAGACCATTGTTACCCTCCCCAATTTAATTTCTAGGTTGTTTGGAGCATGTATACAAATTAATCTGTATGATGTCGTATTTTTTTTGTACAGGACAATGTTGATTCCAAAAGTACGATGTGCTTTCTTACACAACTTTTTATTTTATTTGGAAAATATCACATTCATGTGAAAAAATGGTCTAAAGCTAAGCCAAACTTTGAACATTTTATAAAAGAAATTAAACAATATGGTACTACATTAGACAAAATTAAGAACAAAAAAGCAAGAAAGACCTATGAAGCTTTTTGTTATTTTAAATTGTTGTAATTCTACCCCTGGCATGAATTGTTTCACTTTACATATTCTTATGAATGTTTATTTGTTTTTGTATTTGTTGCGAGTTGTATATGCTTGTACAAATCTTTGTATAATTTTTGCATAATAAAAAAAAAAAAAAAGTATCTGGGATTGTCAGTATATTTGTATGAATGTACCGTCTGATGCACCTTTATGGCAGTACCACAATAGAGAATACGAACCGACGTCACGCTGCGTTGCATGCTGGGGCGGCGCCGCCATTATAGCAGGATCGCCCTCCTCTAGTGTTAACACTGATACTTTGTTTTGATTGTGTAAAGCGTTGAAATCTTGATGTAGAAGGAAGTATATGGAGAAGCAACAAAGTACATTCTGAGGTAGGCCACCAGATTGACTATACTTCTGCTTCTGCCACACGAAAATCACTAAACTGTCTTCTTAATGCTGAGACTGTTAGCAGGCCTGGTTTGAGGACTTGTGCCAGGAAGCTCACTACACCACCACCAACACACTCAGAGTTAACACAATTCTATGCAGATCTTCATAAAGCTGATGGCAAATCTGCTATACTGAGTGTGCTGCCACAATATTGCGAAGAGTTCAAGGATTCTGTGCAGCCTGTCACAAATGTTCAATCCCTTCTCTGTCTACGTGACACTAGTCTTGACGAATGTGATTTCACAATTGTGGAACAGCACTGCCAGGCGAAAAAAAAACAAGCTTATGTTTCAGAACAACAGGCTGAACAAATCGAAAAGACTACACGCACACAGCATAAATCTTCTTTTTGGTTTGCTGCTCGAGCAGGCAGAATCACTGCCTCTAATATGCATGCTGTTTATGCTACTGATGTCAGGTCACCAGCTCTGTCAACTATAAAAAAGATTTGCTATCCACAGGACAGCAAATGCATCACAGCCGATCTTACCTGGGGTACAACACATGAAGAGGATGCAAGGAAGGCCTACATTCAAAAAAACAAGGGACAACATAATAACCATCACGTGTCAGCATGTGGGTTTTTCATAAACCCCACTTTCCCTGAAATTGGAGCATCACCTGATGGCGTAGTGACATGCACTTGCTGTGGTAAAGGCTGCGTTGAGATCAAGTGTCCATCAAAGCACAAAACTAACACCATCCCGGAGGCATGTTTGGCCAAAGACTTCTACCTCGAACTTGTAGATGGAAAAGTACAATGGGTAAATATAGGTAAAGGCAAGCTATTTCAACGCTTTGGGGCCAACACTGAAAATGCCCGGTCACCACTCAGTTTTAATCTTGTCCTAGGGATCTGGTTTGATGACCTTAGATTCCTTTGAGGTTTATGTAAATGCAAAAGATCAATTAAATAAGAGCGAGCCAGATTATGTAAGACTTTATATACTGAAATAAGTAATTTAAAATCAACCCTGTAGTGAATTGGAAACCAATGTAAAGTAGCTCAAATCTGTGTTATATGCTGGAATTTACGAATGTATCTAATCTGTGTACTTTGTTCAGTTGAAGATTCTGTTAGGTCATCCCGGCCCAGGAGGACAGATTTGATATCATTACGTCATCGCGAATGACGTCAGTACGTTAGGGCGTAAAATAACAGATGAACCGGTTTATTGAAACGAACTGTCCGAAAGAACCGGTTCGCGGAAAAGAACCGGACTTCCCATCACTAATCCTTTCAATATGGCGTCTACCAACAAGGTTACCCAGAATTCAACGCGACGTGACGTCACATTCGTATTCTCTATAGGCGGAGCTCACGATAGCAGACTGTGGGATGCTTATATTTGAGGGGGTTTAAGCTTGACAAGTCAAATGCAAAACATCCTAGACGTAGATAAATTTGGTGCGAGATTAATTTTCCTACACTGTCTCAATTCTTTTGAGTGTATTCTGGCAGTACTCTCTGTCAGCGATGAATTCTCTAACTAGTGTCATAAGGTGACTCTCAACTCCCCTCTGCAGGGTGAGATGGTTCAGTCCGCTAGCGCGCCGCGTCCACACTCGTTTCTATGACCAAGCGTGCAGATAAAACACGTTCTCTTGATTCTGTCAGCCATTTTCCCGTCAAACGACTCGCCCTTCTCTTTCATTTCCCGTGTTTTACTATCTGAATGAGGAGTAAATAAAATTCACTCTAGCCATGTCAGTTTCTGAGCCAGCGTCAGTGGACTCTGGCGGAGCGGGAGCCTTTTACCCGGCTGGATACCAGGCGCTGAACCCGGAGGAGCACGGCCTAGACCGCGGCTTCCGACTCACGGCCTTCTCCGATCTGAAGGGATGAGGGTGTAAAGTCCCGCAGGAGACTCTGCTCAAACTCCTGCAGGGACTAGAGCCGGACCGCCCGCCCGGAGAGGACGGCGGCTCGGGGGCGGGTGTTGGAGACGAGACCGCTGAATTCGGACTTGTTTCAGTTGCTCAGGGTCCTCGACTAGGTAAAGTATGACTGACCTGTCACAGTCACACCAGCGCTGTCAAACAGCGAACGCTGATCCGTGAACCTCTCGTTCGTTTGAGTCGGATCTTTTTCATGAATCTGTTGAATAGTTTCAAAAATCAGCAAACTGAGTTTGCTTTTACGGATAGTAAGTGCATATGGAGTGAACCAGGAATTTGACTGATAGGGCGAAAATTAGATTCATTAAATAGCCAAAAGCAACATTTGTATGAATAAAACATACTGGAAATATATTTTGGACTTTATTAAATTATAGAATTTCCCAATAAGAGGTGAATTTAATAAAATAGTTACATCAAACAAAATTTGGTTAATAGAAAAAAAAAACATTAGTAAGCAGTAATATGTTGATTACTTATGGTTTTATTGTGATCTTAAAAAAAAAAATCACTGAATCGGTTTTGTGAACCGGTTCATGGAAACGAACTGTTCAAAAGAACCGAGTCGCGGAAATGAGTCAGACTCCCCATCATTGCCAAATGTCAAAGTGAAATAACGAAAGCGCTCATGTTATCTGCATATAGACCAATTACGAGTAGACGTGTACCGTATCCGTGAAATTCTCTAGCTGTAAAGGCTTATCTCTCCCGGGTTTTCTGCAACCATGATGCGCGCGCATCCTGAATGTTTACAAACCGGTAATTGGTCTATAGAGAGGTCTGAAAATAGAAACTAACCGTTTTGTTTCCTGCATCAGTCCTTTAATATACCCTGATTAACCTGACTATATAACGACTATATTAATTTATTTTTATTACAGACGTTATTCAGCATGCAATATGTTGTCATCTATTTATGTATAACACAGAACTACAAAGTACCGTTGTTTTCATGTTATTCATAAGTCTCAATCTCGAAAAATCACAGAACATCTGTGTTTGTAAAACTCTTTGTTTAACCTTTGGCTTATCCTGTTAATTAAAAACTACTAGGAAGTATAATGCAATCATTAAGAGAAAGAGATGTGAACTATGGACCCAGGCTATAAATTAATGCTTTCCACTGCAAAATGGATCATAAGTAATCCTACAAAAATGCTTCATACTGTTGCCAACTGAATGGTTTTATAAGGATTTAAGTACCTATATTATATGATTAGTCAAAGCTTCTTTAAATATGCATGCACACTGTGCATGAAATTACAGAGGGTGAAAAATTATCTTATCTGCAGGAATTGGAATGGACTCATGTGTGATCCCTCTGAGGCATGGAGGTCTTTCCCTGGTCCAAACCACAGATTTCTTCTATCCTTTAGTGGAGGATCCTTACATGATGGTGAGTGATCTCTATTAATATTTCGGAAATGTTAGCATGGAACTTACAAATAAATGGGACTCACATCCATTCTTTTACAGGGAAGAATTGCTTG